CTCTGTCACCCTGGCTAGAGTATATACAGTGGTGTCATCATGACTCACTGCAACCTCGAACTCCTGGGCTCAGGTGATCCTCCTGCCTCAGCGTTCTGAGCAGCTAAGACTACAGATGCACATCACCATGCTCTGATAATTTTTCTGTTTTTTGAAGAGATGAGGTCTCGCTCTTGCTCAGGCTGGTCTAGAACTGCTGACCTCAAGTGATCCTCCTGCCTTGGCCTCCTAGAGTGCTAGGATTATAGACATGAGTCACCACACCCAGCCTAGGTCCTGCTGACATACAGATTCTGATTCAGTAGGGTTGTAGGGGGGCCTGAGAGTCTGCATTTTAACAAGTTCCCAGGATATGTTGATGCTGTGATCATAGACCACATTTTGAATAGCCAGTTTCCAGGCAATTCACCTGACTGAAGAGTCTATGATGGAGAAGCAAGAGATGGGAAGCCTGGAGCTATTGTGATAATTCAGTGATGAGATGATAAGGATCTCAACCACAGCCGTGTCAGAAAGCATGGGGAAAAAAGGAAATGGATAAGAGACATGTAAGTCCTTTGGATTAAATAGCAATAAAAATAACCTAAACATATCTAAAATCTCAGATCCTTATCGTCTGCATGTAGCAACTAGACACAAAACCAAAAGGGCATAAATAAATAGCAATCAACAGAGTATCATACTATATTTTTGAAAATTATATTACCATTGTTATTTTATAGACTGCAGAAGCTAAGACCCAGAAAAAAAGGATGTGATATTCCAATGTGACACAACAGTGGCATCTGAGCCTAAGCCTTCCACCTTTGTGGTGCTAGCTCCATCCTCTAATGCCCACTCTAGAAACGAGCCTCAGCCAAGAGGATCTCACACCTGGAGAGAGTTTGGGCAGGTCACTGATGAATGCGCTTTCCAGAGCAGAGTTTAAAATGAGTCATCAGGTCAGGCGTGGTGGCTCACAACTGTAATCCTAGCACTCCGGGAGGCCGAGGCAGGAAGATTCCTTGGGGTCAGGAGTTCGAGACCAGCCTGAGCAAGAGCGAGACGTCATCTCTTCAAAAAATAGAAAAATTAGCAGGGTGTGATGGCATGCACCTGTAGTCCCAGCTGCCCATGAGGATGAGGCAGAATGATCACTTGAGGATCACCCAGGAGTTTGAGGTTCTAGTGAGCTATGATGACACCACTGCACTCTAGCCAGGGTGACAGAGTGAGACCCCGCCTTAAAAAAAAAAAAAAGGTCATCAAAAGGATGATTTGTGTGCAGTTAGAAGGAGGAAGTGATAAGTTATGTCAGATGAACCCTATTTCCTTTTTTTGGAAAAGAACTTCCAGATCGATAGATCAGAGAGTTACCACCAACACGAAACATCTGATTTCAGCAAAAAATGTGACAAACTCTCTCGACAGATTTCTGGACAAAGTGAAGACAAGTTGAGCTGGATGCTAATACCATTAAGTGGATCTGTAAGTGATCAAAAGATCAGCAGCAATCCGATGAGGTCAGCAACCTCTGGTAGAATGTACCAGATTCTAGGCTTGGTCTTACTGACCTGGATGAGAATGCTGATGTGTTCACTACATCCATACAACAAACATGGAATACAGCAGAGAACATAACCGACAAAAATTGCTGCCCTAGTAGAGCTGACATTCTAAAGGCAGCGAAAAGATAGTAAACAAAATAAATAAAATACATAGTATGTTAGATGAATATATGTGTAACGGACAAAAAAAAGCAGAGAAACAGTATGGGAAGTGTGTTGGATCAGAGGAGGGATCACTTTTAAAGAGAATAGCATGAGATCTCACTGAAGAGGCAATATTCGGACTTGTGGGTCATGTAACTAAACTCATTGATGGGATGTTCAGTTGATGAGAAGGTAACAGAAGACAAAAAATTTAGAGAAAGTGTTCATAGATTAGACATTCATATCAAAACAAATTTCAATTTGGTTAGAATGTTGGGACAAATCCAATATATCTTTTGGGATGCAAATTTTTTTGAGATAAATGTAAGACCTTGTCCTTGAGAACAGAGCACCGAATATTGGTTACAGAATGGGAGAGATGAGATTTAACATTCAGAATAAGGAGGTTGGTTAACTACAGTTCAATATGAGTCAGCTGTGTGATGTGATTCTAAAAATATGGTGTGGTCTCAGGTTATATCAATGGAGACACAGTATCCAGAACAGGAGAGGTGATAGTCTTGCTCTCCTCTTCACCCGGCAAACTATGCTTGATGCAATGTATGTGGATTGGGGCCCAAATTCCCAAAGGGAAACTGACAAATTGGAAAACAACCAGAGGAGAACAATCAAGGTGGTTAGATGCCCAAAGCAATCCATGACCACAAACACTTCAATGCAAACATGATGGTAATAGGACTAGGTTGAAGACACATATTGTGTGTGTGTGTGTGTGTTTTAAAGAGATGGGGTGTTGCTATGTTGCCTAGGCTACCAAACTCCTGGGTTCAAGCGATCCTCTTGCCTCAGCCTCCCAAGTAGCTAGGACTACAGGCACAGGCCTGATGCATATTGTTTTTAATATGAGTTTTTTGATCTGCAGATTCTGTAATGTTATGTACTAGTGGAGGGGAAGTGTAAATTAGCTTTCTAGCCCAATATATTTC